GGTTCGAGCTGGTAGGTGACAGCGTTGGCTTTTTGAGTTCGCATTTCTATTTCGCTGTCTATGGACCCGTTCTCAGAAAAAAATTGCTGCCAAGATACTGTATTTAAACTCCTTCACCTGTTTCAGTTGTTTACTGTTGACATGGATGTTCAGGGGACTATGGTTTCGGTTTATTTTATTTATTACGCTGTAATTTACATACTATTATGTCCGTGGTCATCCATTTCTTTGCTAATGTGCTGCCTTAGGCTTATTTATTATCAGAATTCTAAAAATATTTTTTGGTATATATTAATATATTTATATAATGTATCTAATTCTATATTTTTATTGGCACATTTTCTACCATCATAGAGTATAGAGTTATAGCTTGTTCTCTTTCGTCTGATTGCGGTTAAAACTAGGTAAAATGAAATCATTCTGTTCACATCCTTCGACTTTGCATGGGCCTACGGGTCTAAATATTGGATTGGATGACCGACAGAATCTAAAAGCCCATTTACAAAAGGTCACTGCAAACTAAGGTTCCAACACATTTTCTTTGATGCTAGCCTAAAGCAGGTAAAAAAATGATAAGGGTATTACAGCTTACACCTAAAACATTACAAAGTTGACATATTTTCCTCAACACCCCAGCTAAACATAAGCCTAAAAAACACGATTCAAGAGACGGGGTGAGTAATTTTTAGGACTCACATAGAGACATGGAGACAGCCTTGGGATGAAATCTACAAATTTACTCTGAAATGTAGGGGCTGGGTGGTGTCGCTGTTTCAAAAAGAGCAATTTGTTGGTTAGGTTCATATAACTCATTTATCTTAGCAATCCTATGTATGTACCCAAAGAACAGTTTTTAAATTAGGGCTCAAAGTGAAAAACGTTTTTTTTATTATTTGGTGGAGATATTTTAAAAATAAATTTGTTTGGTCGCTGGCCTGTAGAAGTCTCATGCAAAATTTCTTGGCATTTGTAAAGTAAATAATCTAGATTTTTGTTTTACACTGACAGACAAAAAATGAACAAGCTATAATTAATACATTTACTACTGCATCCTTAATTTTTGTAATAATTCTTTAGTGATGTTTTTGTACAGTTTGAAATGTGTACTAAATTACGTATACCAATTTATAATAAAAAAAGAGTCTTCTTTCAATTCTTGATTTGCCTTCTAAAAATCTATATTTACAAGTTTGGTTGGTGCATTGACTTTTTTCCCTTCACGCTAGATTCTATTGTGGATGTGTAACTCTTCAAATGTGTCTAAAAATACAGCCAAATGTTTTACGGAGCGGGTTGTTTCTGCACGTGAGACATGTATTTACTAATGTTCTGTCTTGTTGTGCGTATGCATGAGTACACCTAACCTTTGTAACATCCGCTGCCATCGTAAACGACAAAGACAAATTTCTCTCTACGAGATGAATAAAGATTGTCGTTGGCATTGTCATACCCCTTGACGCTTTAAAGGCGACAGAGGATGGAAAAACAATAGTAACTTGTCATATCTCCATTTTTAACAGTGAAAATGTGACTTCTTCTTAAGCTCACTCTTTGTTGTGAACTGCTTTCACTGTTATTAAAAATGGAGATGCGACAAGAAAGCACTAGGTCGCAAACTCTCAATTCATTCTCGCCGTCTCCACCTCGGGTTCAGCGGTTTGCGTGACGTCACCCGACTGGACAGGGGGCATTTTTAAATGGTGCTTCACGGTAGCCAAAAACTAATTACGTTTTTTAAATCAGCGTCGTCAAATTAGGGTGGCAACCAAGCAGAATTACATTTTAAGCAATAGTTTAGGGATTTCGAGTTTTTTAATCCCCAAATAAATGCTTAATAAATACCAGCTGTGTTGTGGTATAATTTTTTTCTTATATCTAGATCTAGGCTTTCGGCACCCTCTATTTGGAGTCAGGGAGACACCTACTGGCGCCTGTCCGAGTCGATCTTCAGCCACTTAGTTTTCGGCGTTCTCTATGTTATCACCCTATGTTTGGAACGTGAACGTTATCTCTGTACCAAATCATGGCCTTGAAAAAAAAAAAGACATAACTGTGTCTGATGGATAGATAACTTAAACCAACAATCTAAAGTTGTTTATAAGTCAAAACAAAACGTATTGTGATGTAAGTTTTATTTCAGTTACTCAATTTTGCCCTAGAGTATAATAATATTGATTTTGAAAGTTCTTGCTATAATGATTACTTCCCTTTTTCAAGTAAAGAGTTAATCCCTCAATGGATATATCATCCTACCATCTGTTTAGAAGAGTGTTTCCAAAACCTTTAATGCTGTTTTTATAGCGTATTAATTAGCACCCACTTTGTCCACCTTAAAGCGTTGTTGTACCACCGACCTCCATGCACTTCCAAGTAGGACACAAAATGATGTCTGCCACTGTCTGGGTTATTCCCGCCACCCATCACAATCCTGAAATCAACCACTTAATAGTGAGTGATAGCGCCCAAGCTGGCAAGCAACTACTTCATGGTACTTTTGACTGATAGCATAATATTATGTTTTCCTTATTTCATTTCTAAAACTTTGAACTTCTTTATATCTGACTTGGATTGCCACCTCTCTTTCATTTTATTTCTTTCTTTCTTTTCTTTTTCTTTTTCATCCTCTGTTGCCGTTAAGCGTCGAGGGGAGATGCAGTTTTCTATGGTAGGCCAGCTCCGCAGCTCTTTC